CAGGGGCAGTCGGGAATTCCTGGAATCCCAGCACTGGGGAGGCTGAGGCAGGAAGATTGCTGTGATTTCTGCACCAGCCTGGACTGTGTAGTGAGATGCAGTCTCAAAAAACCAAAGAAGGGCAAAGAAAGAAATGAGTAGCCCATAGCTACCGGGCTGGGGTTTGCACCTTGGTCTCTCTGACTTAAAACCTTACCCTACCTGTAATCTTAGCACTCTGGGAGGCTGAGGCAGGGGGCTTGTAAATTTGAGTCATCCCGGGCAGTTAGTGACAGTGAGATCCTGTTGCAAAAATAGATGAACAGATTCGGGAAGGGCTAGGGGCTGTAACTCAGCCCAGAGACCCTGGGTTTACTCCCCAGTAAGGCAAAATAAAAGGCACACCCAGACTTACCCCAGTTCACACGATCTGCTGTTGCGAACTTGTGCTTGTCAGTTCCTCCCCTTAAGGATTCCACCTCCCATGTTTTGTTTGGCTTTAAGGGTTCTGTTGTGCAGCCCATCTGGCCCCCCTGTCTGGGTGTGGGACCCAGTGCCTTGTGTCTTTATCACAGCAGGTGGCAGACAGTGCCGTCTGCCGTGGAGAGGACAGCAGCGTCCACGGCACCCAGGTGGCAACTGTTCTCCTTCAGTGTGTTCAGGGCTGTCTGCCTGGTGCTGAAGCCCGAGTGCTGGCTGCTGTCTCTGCAGAAGGAGAGGACGGAGCCAGCTGCGGCCACAGCAGCCACCTGAACCCTGAATGTGGTTGCTTCCCACTGTGCTGGTTCCCACATTTCCCTTGGGCATAGGCAGGGAAGCCTTCGCATTCAGGGGCGCCAAGTGAGGTTATCTTTGCAAACAGAGGTGTGCAGGGCAGGGAGTCAGTTTAGCACGGAGGGATTGTAGGAGGGGCCGCAAGGCACAGCCCCTTGACGGGTGACATGCAGGGTATGGGGCGAGGCCACTGGTTGTGGTTGCCGCTGCCGAAGCTGAGGGTGAGGGGCATCGTAGGGGAGGCAGGGAGAGGGAGTCTAAGTGCTGGGGTGCAGGTTTGCATGTGGGGGGGGACCTCTGTGGGGAGACCACTGGGCCCCAGTGGCTGGGCAGGTGTGTGCACTAATGCATTTCCTGCCCGTGCATGGGTTCTGCAGTGCTATGAGAGAGCTTGTGGGGGCCTTGCCCGCCAGCATGGCCCCAGCTCCTCTCAGGGAGCAGTTATGTGCTGCGTGGCCCGGGAGAGGGAGGCATCCCGGGGCAGGGGGAGCGTCAGTGACTCCGGAGCTACAGGGCCCAGCTGGCACAGGGGCGAATGGGTGCTGAGCAGGAGGCATCCACCTGGGCCGACAGTTGCTCTCCGTGGCTTCTGAAGTATTTTCCAGTTTATAGGAGAGTCCGGAAAGTAAGATGGAGCCACAGAGTAAGCTTGGTGGAGTCTGTGGGGGGCAGTGCAGGGCGGGGTGCTGAGGACAGAGTGTGGCGGAGGAGATGAGCCTGGGCTCTGCTCTGCCACCCCCCACTCCATGCATCAGGGGTAAGAGTGGGGCTCGGAGCCACTGATTTCTCTGGGACTCAGTTTGTCCACCTTAGAAATGGGGATGCTGCTGGAAGCTGGCTTGCAGGATGGTTGTGTGTACTGAGTGGCACAGTGTATTTCTTCTTCTTAATTTTCTAAAGATGGTGCATTTCTCCTTCTGCAGCATGTTGAGAACCTGTACCCCACCCCACAGCCACCACCCCAGTCTGCACGCTCTCTTTACTTGCTTGGTGGCAAGGCAGCAGCCTCCAAATGATTTCCCTAAGTCCAACAGTTATTCGTTTGTTTGTTTATGGGATGTGGAAATTGAACCTGGTGGCTTTTGTATCGAGTACATTCCCAGATGTTTTTGTTTTTGTTTTTTTCTTTTTTTTTGTCTTTTTCCTTTTTATCGGTACCAGGGATCGAACTCATGACCGCCTGCTTGCAAGGCAGGCGCTTATGCCGCTGAGCTAAATACCCAGCCCCTCTTTTATTTTTCTTTTCTTTTCTTTTTTTTTTTTTGGTACTGGGAATTGAACTCACAACCTCACACTCCCAAACAGGCGCTTGTGTTGCTGAGCTAAACCTCTGGCCCATGTTTCTGAGACATGGTCTCACTAAGTTCTCCAGGTTGGCCTCTAACTTTCAATCCTCCTGCTTCAGCCTCTTAATTAGCTTGGATTATGGACATGTGCCATCATGCCTGGCCTCTTGCTACCCTTTTTGCAATTAATATAGCTGTTTTATTAAGATAATCCATCTCTCCTGCGCTTCACCTATTGAAAGTATAGCATTTAGCGGTTTTTGTGTTCACAGGGTTGTGCAGCCAGGACTGCGATCAGTGTCACACTATTTCATTACCTGTCAGGTGTGGTGACACACACCAGCTAATCCCAGCACTCAGGACGCAGAGGCAGGAGGCTCAGCCTAAGTTTGAGGCCAGGCTGGGCTACACAGCAGGTTCAAGCCTAGCCTAGACTGCACAGCAAAAAGAAACACACCACACTAAAAGCCCTCAAAATGAAAAATAAAAGAGGACTGGGTCATAGCTCAGTGTAAAAGCTCTGGGTTTGGTCTCCTGTACCACAGATAAAACCAGAAGCACTTTGCACTCCGCCCTTGCTGGGAACGCCAGTGAGCCCCAGTGCGTGCAGAGTGCCCTGCGACATCTGCCTGGCCTCTGCATCCTCCCCTGGACTTCTCTGCCTCCCTCTGGGACACACGTCCTAGTGGGATCAGGCTTCCCTGGCCTGTGTGCCCACGGCCACTGGCCCCGGCGTCCTTTCTCTGGCAGCAGCTTGCCTGTCTGTTCACTGTACCCAGGCCCTCCCCAGAGAAGCTGCACTCTCTGTGCGCAGGGCCGCTCGGAGGATGAGTACACAGCAGAAAGAAGCTTGCCTGCTTCGTTGTTAGTCAAAACAGATGAAAATCAGATTGGTTAAATGAGTTGGACTGAGGGCCAATTCCGTGGGACCCGGGCAAACCTGTCCCCCCTTTGGCCTTGTTTTGTTTTGTTTAGTTGGTACTGAGCATTGAACCCAGGGCCACAACCCCAGCCTCTTTTTAAAACAGGATCTTGCTGGGCATGGTGGTGCATGCCTGTAATCTCAGCACTTGGGCAGTTGACGCAGGTGGGAAGTCACACAGGTGGGTCACCCTGAGTTCGAGGCCAGCCTGCATGACATAGCCAGACTCTGTCTCAGAAACCAAACCAAACCTCAGTAAGTTGCACAGGCTGAGCTCACACATGGACTCCCCCGCTTCACCCTCCCGAGGTACTGGGTTTTACAGGTACTGTATTCAGAGTCCTTAGTTCATCCTGTTTTGCAGTTGGATTCTGAGGAAGGAGAAGGCATGGGTGTCCTCGTTCGGTGGTCCCAGGACCTGGTGGTGCTTTGTAGCAGATGGGCACAGGGGAGCTGGTGTGGAATGAATTCAGCCAGTAGAGCACGCTGTTAAAATGCAGATGACGCTGAAGACCTGCAGGAGGTCTCCTGCTCCTTCTCTCACAGAGGCAGTGCTGGCTGCTGTGTGGGTGCCAGCGGTTGGTCCTCTTGTTCCTGTGTGGCGAGTGGCACCCTTTGGCCCCTTGCTGTTCCGTTCAGCACACCTTGAGAACAGAGCCATTTCACACGCGTTGCAGCCTGCGAAGGCCATGAAGCATTTTGTCTTATGGGTGATTTCTGTTTATTTCACCAGTGTCCCTGTAATGAACGGGGACAGAAATTCATTTCTGGTCTTTGGCAAGCACAGCCCTGGCTGCGGCGAGAACGCTGGTCCTTGGACCTGTGAGCACAGCCCTGGGTTAATAATGAATCAGTGTAACCCGATACAAAAAAATCATGGATGAGCAGTCTCCCTGATGATCCATGGTTCTTAGGTCACTTTTATCTTTCACTAGAGGCATGCGCCTGTTACAGTGATCACCAAGTGAAGGTCATTGCAGGAGGAGTGAGTCGCTGGTGTTCAGGGGTCAGTCACAGTCACAGGAAGGTTTCTTCCCTCCCCCTCCTTGTACCATGGCTTCAGCAGGTGGCCTCTGATGGCCAGCGTGGACGGTTGGTACCCAGGAGCAGGAACGGCTGAGGGGTCAGACTCCTGAATCCTCGGTGTGGGTGTGTGCGTTTCTTTGCCTCTGAACAACTTAGAAAGCAGCCATCAGGGAGGAGTGCCAGGTACCTGTCTTCATCCGGGTGCAGGCCTCCCGGGCCCAGCTTACTGGAAGGAGGATGCTATTTTTAAGAAAGAGCATTGTGTTTCATCATGGAAATTTTGAGTGTCTGAGCCCGCAGCTCACAGCTCGCTGGCTCCTTGAGGGAGCGGCTGGGGAGAGGGAGGAGGAGGAGGTCCACAGCAGCCGCGCGATTATGTGAGTCCGGTTTGTCTCTTGGGTTGCTTTGGCCTCAGTTTGTGGCATCTCGGGCCGCAGGCTGGGGGTTTTCTCCCTCCCACTCTTGACGGACATGCCCGGGGCATGGTCCTTGCTGCCTCTGTGCAGGCTTTGGTTCTCCAGGCACCTGTGAGCTCCTGAAGGGTGGGCTGCCCTTCTGAGAGGCTCCCAGGGTGCCTTGTTTGGCCAAGGGTCTCTATGCCCAGGGTGAGGTGACCTGAAATTGGGGCCGGATGCCATAGTTGATGACCAGGCGGGGCTTTGGGTCAGGGTCCCTACAGCCGCATATGGGCCCAGCTCGGGTCCGAGGGGTTCGGAGCCATCGTGGCTTGCACTCACTGTGCTCTGGGAGAGGAGAGCTGGGGAGGAGAGGAGCTCTCTCCTGCTCCTTTAAGCAATGGTCTCGGTGTGGAGTGACACCTATGGTTGATCAGGTCAGCCAGGAGGCTGCTTCTCCTGCCTTTGCAAACTCCAGGGCTTGGTTTTGTGCTTCCCACACCTCTGTAACACTTAGAAAATAATCATAGCGTTGATTGAGACTAGCCTACGGTGGGCACTGGTGGGCGTGGCCTGAGCTATGGGCGTGGCCTTGACGGCCTGGCCTCTTTCTCACAGGTGCTGCGAGTGGCTGAGATGCTGTGGTGCTGGGGAGCCCAGACCCCGCACTGTCTGGTTGGGCCACCCGGAGAAGAGGGACCAGAGGTATCCTCGAAATGTCATCAACAACCAGAAGTACAATTTCTTTACCTTTCTTCCCGGGGTATGTACAGTGTCCATCCTCCTTCCCTTTTCCATAATTTATCTTTCTATTTTGTGTTTTAGTATTGGAGATGGGAGCCAGGGCCTCACTCATGCTAGGCAAGGGCTCCACCACTGAGCTCATCCCCAGCCCTTTATTTCATGTGGAGGCACAGGCTCCCTGCCCAGCACAGGCTGGCCTCTGACTTAAACCCACAGATTCATGGGACGGTGCTGGTCTTACCTGACTGAGGTCCCTGTGCGGGCACTGTGAGCACCCCTGTGTCTTTTCTGGGCTGTCTTAGGCACTAAGCATTTGTCTGTCTGGCCGAAGCATCTGGAGGAGGCTGCCTGCTGTCTACAGGATCATGATGTTCATCTGGCCACTGAGAATAGCCCCATTTTGGTTTGACATATTGCACCAAGACTGACAACAATATTCTGGGGATCAAGCATTATCACCAAAGAATTGAAAACGGCAGCAGTACTTAAGTCTTCTCCTCTTGTCACTGTGGAACCTGCACCCAACATAGGAGAGCTGGGAAACACAAGTATATAAAGCGGAAAAAATTGAAAGTTAATACCATTATTTAAAGGGTCTCCACCGCTGCTCTGGTTATTATGGTGTCGAAATCATGTTGTGGGTGTAACTTTTGTCTTACTTTTTTGACTCAGCATTACATTCCAAAAGCAGCTCTGTTGAGTGCTTTCCACTAAAATTGCTTCTTAAACAAAGTGTCATGTTGCTACCCTGGATTTAAAAATGTATCATTTCAGAAATAAAAACTGGACAGATACAATTGACAGTCCCTGTCTGCTCCTTCCTGTCTAGTTGCTGCTCCTGCCCCCTGCCCAGTAAAATCTGTTCTTAATTTGGTGTTTATAATTTCTCTGTATACATCACTTATTTTTGCAAGTCATGTGTTTACTGTACACTTGTGTATACTTGTGTTTCTCTGTGGAACTAGTTGGGTGGGGTAGCAGTTGCCTGTAATCCTGGCACTCTTGAACGGCTGAGGCGGGAGGATCCTTGCGCACAGCCTGGATAATTTAGCAGTTTAGTAAGACCCTGTCTCAAAATAAAAAATTCATTAAAGGCTGCAGATGTAGCTCTGTGCAAAGGCCCTGGGTTCGGTCTTCAGTATGGGGTGGGGTGGGAAGGAAGAAAGAAAAGGAACTGTTTAACTGTGTAAGTTTTTTCTTTTTCTGTTTTTTTCTTTTTGGTTTTTTGAGACAGGGTCTCACCATGTAGTTCAGGTGGGTCTTGAACTCAAGAGGTAGCCGAGGTTGGCTGCTTACCCACAGGATCCTCCTGCCTCAGCCTCCTGAGTGCTGGGATTATAGATGTGTGCTGGCACACCTGGCTTATAAAGTGTATTTTTATACAAAGTGTTTTTAATGTTGCTTCCCACTAAGCCGTCCCAGCCTCGTGTGTCAGGTACGCCCTCAGTGTCTGCTCTCTGCTGTGTGCCTTGCAGGTGCTGTTTAACCAGTTCAAGTACTTCTTCAACCTCTATTTCCTGCTGCTTGCCTGCTCCCAGTTCGTCCCTGAGATGCGGCTTGGCGCCCTCTATACCTACTGGGTCCCCTTGGTGAGTAGGACGGTGTTCGTTTGTTTGTTCAGAACTTCAGAGGCTAAAGACAGGAAGTTCTTTGCCTCTCTCCTCCAAGCACCTAAAACTAGATGGGTCCTTTCAAGGAATACAATGCCCTTCTAAACCAATAGACTGGGGCGTCTGGATTATTATTAGTAGTATTATTTTGGTACTGGGATGGAACTCACAACCTCTCACTTGCCAGGCAGGTGCTTAGGTCACTGAGCTAAACCCCTGGCCCTGGATCGATCATTTACTTATTCATTTTTGAGACAAGGTCCTGCTTTGTAGTTCAGGCTGGTGTTGAATTCACTGTGGACTGCAGGCTGGCCTCAAACTCACAGCGATCTAAAATGTGCAATAGATATTGTGATAATGAAAGGGAAAGAAAATGCTCAAAACAAAAGAACGGCTGGAACAGGGGTAAGGAGACAAGGAAGGGAAAAGAGTCTATGTAAATAGGCACATACAGATACACGTGTGTATGTATGTATGTACAAGATGGATAACTACATGGCGAATCTGTTAGCTCATTAAAAACAAGTTTGTGCTTTCATTGTTTGATTTTTTTGTTTTTTTTTAACCAGCACCAGAGATCGAACTCATGACCACATGCTTGCAAGGCAGGCGCTTATGCCGCTGAGCTAAATCCCCAGCCCCTTGCTCAGATTTCAAGATTTAGGCATTAAAAAAAATGATCAAATAGGGCTGGGGATTTAGCTCACTTGTGGGCAGGTGACGTTGCTTCTAACCTGCTGCATCATCAGACACAGCTGAGAAGCTGGAGCCTATTTCTTACAAGCAAGAGTTGCCTGTGGAATTCAGTGCGCTTACTTGCTTGCTTGTTTTTTTCCTTAGAAGTGGGGCAGGATGCAGGGAACCAGAGATACCTTCGCCCAGGCTTCCTTCCCTCGGATAAGATGCCTCTGCCCAGTGGCAGTGGTGACATATGCATCCCTGGTAGTCAGAAAGCGTCAGTGGGCATGCGCACATGGCACAGAACATGGTGGTCGGGAAGCGTCAGTGGGCATGCGCACATGGCGCAGAACGTGGTGGCCGGGAAGCGTCAGTGGGCATGCGCACATGGCGCAGAACATGGTGGTCGGGAAGCCTCGGTGAGCATGCGCACATGGCGCAGACCGTGGTGGTCGGGAAGCGTCGCAGAATGTGATGGTCAGAAAGTGTCAGCAGGCATGCGTGCTCCGCGCAGACAGAAGTGGTCTGGAAGCATCAGCGGGCATGCGCACACCCAGTCGTGGGTGGAGCCGGGTTCGAGTTCCATCCAGAGGCGGATGGGTCCTGCTCCCTGTTGACCCGGGCAAACCTGAGTAGTTATTGGCAGCACTTGTGTTGGAAGCTTGCTTTACGCGGGACGCCCTAACTTGATTTGAGGCTTGCAGTTACATTCTGATGAAAAAGGAAATCAGAAAGCACTGACTTTCAGAAAGTCAATTTACAACGTATATAAATGTCTTTTATCGCAATGCCTTTTATTGGTTGGCCTTTAAAAGTATAGTAATTCTGGCTGGGGATTTAGCTCAGCGGCATAAGTACCTGCCTTGCAAGCAGGCGGTCGTGAGTTCGATCCCGGGTACCGATAAAAATGAAAAAGACCAAAAAAAAAAAAAAAAAGGTATAGTAATTCCAGCACTCTGGAGGATCACCGTGAGTTTGAGGCCAGCCTAAACTACACGGTGAGAGCCTTTCGCAAAAACAAGAGAAATGGGCAGGGGATTTCGCTCAGCGGTGTAAGCAGCTGTCTCACAAGCTTGAGGTATTTAATTTTGCTTGAAGCTATTGTGAACGGTATTATTTTATGATTTCTTTCTTGGTGGATTCATTATCAATATGTAGGAATGCTGTTGACTTTGTGTCCTGCTATGTTGCTGAATTTATTAGTTCTAAGGGTCTTTTGGTGGAATTTTGGGGGGTGTTGTATGTAAAGGATCCATCGTCTGTGAATAATAACTAATAACTTGCCATCCTTAACCCTGGATACCAGGGTTACAGTTATGTAACAAAATCTAAGACAAATAAGAAAATTATATACAGTAAATACCCCTCAGTAGAATAATAGTTGAAAAGGAGATGAAAAGGAACTAGAGAAATGAAAAAGATTACTCAAAGCAAGATGACCTAAACCTTGGGAAACTGCTGAAGAAGACAGGAAGGAAAGGAAGAAAGAGAAAATAAAAACAAAAAAATATGTTTACACTCGCATAAAAAATGCAATTAAAAAAGAAAAAATCCAAATAAAAACTAAAAAAAAGACCAATAGTAAAGGGCAAAAAAAAAAAAAAAAAAAAAGAATTTCCTGTGTGATGTCCAGTCTGGTTGTCTTCTGGGGTCTGCAGTTTCATGGCAGTGTGCAGTTCAGGAGATGACTGTGTTCTGGCAGGCAGTGGGAGCAGGCTGAGCCCAGGGCCGTGTAACAGGCCAGCAGCAGGACCACGGCTGGGGACTTTCAGTGACATCGGAATTCAGGCTGGACTTGTCCTCTGGCCGCGGGCTGAGGTTTGAGATTTTTAGCTTGAACAGTCCACATGTCTGCTGTCAGCCTGGCCACGGCTCCCTGACTCTGGTCATCTCCTGCGTTTGACCCTCCCTGTCACGGAGGGAGCTTCCCCCTGGGAGCCTTGAGATGAGGCCAGCCCAAGGTGCTCTGAGCCCCCGGTCCAGTCGGCCCCTCCCTAAAATTGCGCCGGGCCAGGCATCCCCTCCAGGGCCAGTGGCAGGGGTCACTCACCAGCTGATGCGGGGTGTGGGGCTCTGGAGTGGCCTCTGTCCCTCTCTGTAGATTCTGTCTTTCTCTTGTCGAGAACCAGGAGCTGGGGAGAAGGTGTGGATCGTCCCTTCCTTTTTCTGCATTGTGGTCCACTCTTAAAATTTCTCTCCAGGCTCCTGTGTTCCCTGTAGGTCCTTCCTGGGTCCCAAAGGTCCACCCATTTGTTTTCTCCCCGGAGCTGATCTTCAGCTCTGGAGAAGCCTGCATCCTGGAGAGGCTGCTCACTGCTGCTTCGGCTCTGCCGTCTGCTGGCGCCTGTCCTCCCTCCACGAATTTTGCTCATGCCCCAGCAGGCCTGTCCTGTGTCACCTCAGAACCTTCCTGGAGTTTGTGAGGTACAGAAAATGAAACGCACCCGCTGTACACTGAGCCCCTTTAGAGCAGCACGACCCTCCTTGGGGAGAAGCCGGGGCTACTGGGTGCTGAGTGCAGACCCCGTGGTGGGTTGACTTCGCTGTGTCCTCTGCCCGCTCTGTCCGTGCTGCTGTTTTCTGGGCAGTGGTGGCCGCAAAGGTCCCGCGTACCTGCGATGGCGCGGAGGGAGCCCGGCCCTCCACTCCATCCGTGTGTGCCTGATACAGTGATGCACTGATTTCTCGGGAGAAGCCGGAAGCTTTGCCTTTCAGGGCATGCAGTGGTTAATTACACTTTTTGTTTTAATTGAGGTCTAGTCCCAAACCACCTCTGCCGCTTTCCGACTGATTTCTTGGTTTTCCTCTGGCTGTGGTTGTTTAAGGTTTTCGTTCTTATTAGTGCATGTTTACAGTCATAGTGATTGAGTTCATTGTGAGGAGTTGGTGCCGGACTCTGCCTGCGGCTGAGGGCGGAAGCGAGCCCAGTTGGCTTCTCTCAGACTCCGGCAGCCACTGGTGGTTTCTAACCCCACATCCAAGGCCCTCGGTAGGCAGCTTTTCTGGAAGGTGGAAGTGAAAGATATTTATTGTGTATTTCTATATCTCTTCCAAGGGATTACAGAGAAGGAGACCGTGGAGCTCAAAGACAGATTAGACAGTGTCTACTTCTAGATAATGGTGGCTGATCGACCACCTGCTTGCAAGGCAGGTGCTTATGCCACTGAGCTAAATCCCCAGCCCCTCCCAGCAGATTTTTATACAGAAAACCAAGTTCCAGTTATTGGCTAAAGCAGAGTTCAGATCTAGGTATAAGTATGGTGGTTCTTTTTTTGGTACTGGGGATCGAACTCATGACCTCACACTTACCAGGTAGGTGCTTACACCACTGAGCTGAGTCCCCAGCCCAGTGTGGTGGTTCTGAATGAGGACTGCAAGCCAAGTGGTTTGGCTTTAACTTTCAGGAATGCAGTTGAAGTGGATTACTTTGAGTACTAGCAATCAAACTCAAGCCTTGCTTTACAGATGACCTTGTGTTTGCTAGGCAAGTGCTTATCCTGCTGAGCTATATCCCCAGCCCCAAAGTGGTTTACTTTGTACAGACCTACTTTTCTGAGCCTCAGTTTCCTTATCTGTAAAACAGGAGTCGTCATGACTACCTCTTCGGCTTGTTGGGAAAATGAAATGAATTATTGCATGTAAAATGTTTCTTACGGGTTGTGTCTAGATGTTTCCCCAAAGCCCATGCAGTCGGAGGTGGGGATTTCCAGAGGTGGCGAGTCTTGAGTGTGTGATGAAGTTTATGATGCTGGGATTAATGGCGTGTGATCACTGAATTTGTCTGCTGATTGGTTCGGCATAGTTATGGGTGTTTCCTGCCCAGGCAGCCTGGATAGAATGTAAGGGGCAGAAAGAGGGCTGTATTTTTGCGGCCTTCTGCCCACCATGAACTGTTTACCTCTTCGATGCCCTTCTGCCATGGCACCCTGCCTTGGAGCCAGCTGATTATGGACTGAAATCTCTGCAAACCAGGAGCTGAAGTAAACTTTTCCTTCTTTAACTTTGGGTGTTGGATATTTTGTCTCAACAACAAGAAAAATAACAGTGCTGGCACATAGAGGAAACTGGCAGGAATTGTCCTTGTCTGGTTTTAAAATTCTGCTCCTAATGACATTGATTTTCATTGCTTGGGTTCAGCTTTGGCTTTTAATAGTTTTTTTCTTGGTACTATATATTAAGGGGTGGAATTCTTCAGGAGATGGCTGAAATCGTTTGTGTGACCATCAAATAAGCCTAGAGTGCTTTTGATATCCAGATGTGATTACATACCGTATGAGGGTCACAGATCAGTTTGCATTTCGGTGGGTGCTGTCAGCACCCCTGTGTGTACCTCCTTGATCAGCACCAGAAAGTTCCCTGCTTCTCTTCCTAGTCACCTGCCGACAATTGTGGGGCATCTACTTTCCCGATTTCTATTCATCATAGGTTAGTGGTGCTTTAGTAAATAGATTTCTTTTTCTTTTAAACCTTGCTTTGTTGCCCAGTCTGGTCTTGAACGCATGCATGCAAGTGATTCTGCCACCTCAGTCCCCCAAGCAGCTGGGACTACAAGAGACGGCCACACACCACCACGCCTGGCTCAGTGACTCCATCTGCCTGCCCACCTGCCTGTCTCTCACTGGGTATCGAACATGAGTCCTCAAGCATGGTGGGCAACTGCTGTACCACTGAGCCTCATCCCTAGCCATTTTTATCTTTTATTTTGAGATAGGATCTTGCTAAGTTGCCCAGGCTGGCCTTGAACTTACATCTTCCTGCCTCCACCTCCATAGTAGCTGGGTTTTGGGGTTTGCGGTAGCACACCTGTTAATAAATCTCTTTTTTTTATGTACAGATTTTAAAAAGGGTTTAGCACTGTCCGAGTTGCTTGTCTATCTTATCAATGCCCACAAGTTTTTACAAGCTCGGACAGTCCCAGTGCCCCTCCTCCTGGACCTTTTCCTGTATCTGTGGTGATAAGGACCTCCTAAAGTGGACAGTTGGAATCTTATTTCTGAACTGCATTTGCATCTCTTTGTAAAGCAGTTTCTAGCCTAGGGGTAGCATGTAGAATTAACAAGAACTCTGAGCATGTGCCTGTGTGTGTGCATGTGTGGATGTGCGTGACTTCGTGGTGTTTGGTCGGATGACTCAGTGGTGTTTATTTGCAGCACGGAGGTTAGCGAGCATCCACTCTGTATGATCGCGCAGTTTGAAAAAACAAACACCACACGCACACCCAGGCTTAGAACAGCAAGACTGCAGCACAGGGTGGGGAGTCCAGCCCGACCTGAGCTTCCGCAGCGCTTTCTTGCTCCCCACCCTCTGGGGGTGCAGGGGAGGCCTCCAGGTGAACCTGCTTTCCTGCGGCTGGGCGGGTCTGCGCCCTCCATCTGACTGGAAACGGGAGTGATCTCTTGTGAAGATGTGTGAATCTTTGGGAGAGATTCACAAAGCAGCACATCTCTGGTTAGCTTTACATAAAAGATTTAAAGTCCTTTGAGTTGAAATTAATATATTTTGCAGGATAAACATGAAAATGAAATTCTCAAGGAACCCCCTGCCAGCCCCTGGACAGTTGTGCCATCTGTGGTTTTTTTTTTTTTTGGTGTGGGGAGTCGAACTCGCGACCTTGCGTTTGCCAGGCAGGTGCTTCTGCCACTGAACTAAATCCCTAGCCAGCATCTGTACTTTTTAAAAAAAAAAACCATTCTGGAAAGCTTTGAAAGGGAGCAGAGGGAAGCGATAACAGGAACAGTGTGAGAGTATAAGCAGATTAATAGGTGCTTTTGCCTGTGTTGATACAAGAGTGGGAAGTCTAGATGGTGAACAGAGCCTTGCTCTGAGGAACCGCCTCACCCCAAAAGTTGATACGAGTTACGGCGCTGGATTTAGGGGAAGATGTTAATTTTTATGAATTGGTTCTTCTGTAACCAGTGCTGTAATTTGATTTCTTCATGAAACTACAGATAAGGCTGAAATCCCTTCAATTCCTCCCTAATCCCCTTCCTCCCAGACTTCTAACCGGTAGTTACGGACTGGGAAACATTTAACCATGCACGCTGGCTCTGTGGTTTAGGTGAGCGGTGTTATATACTCTGTGTGTGTGTGTGTGTGTGTGTGTGCGTGTGCGTGTGTGTGTGTGTGTGTGTGTTACAGGGGGCTGAACCCAAGCTTTCACACTGAGCCACTTTCCCATCTTTTATTGCTTATTTTGAGACAGAGTCTATGTTTCCCAGCCTGGGCTTGCCCCTGTGTGTCAGGGTCCCGGAGGGGACGGTGACCTCCCTTCCTGGCTGTCACCTGAGCCACGGGTGGGTGTTGCTCTTCAGCTGCTGCCCAGTGCTCCTTCCCATTGGCGCCGTGTACGCAGGTGTCTCTAGGTGCAGAATAATGTGGCAGTGGAGAGGAGGGAGAGTTCCTGCCGATGACACTCTTGGTGGCTTTGTGTCCAGCCCAGGGGCAGCCCTTGGCATCACTGTCTATCACCTTTGGGGGACACTAGGTGTGCTCTGCACTGGTGATGTGGGTGTCCTGGTCATGCGTGTCAGCGAGTGCCTGTCCCTCAGGGAGGCTGGAGCAGGTCGCTGAGGGGTGGTGGCAGTGGTGGTAATGCATTTGGAATAGTTCACAGGTCCTCCCTCCTGCGCTCCTGAGCAGCGTCCTGCCTTTTCTGCCCACAGCCAGCTTCAGCAGGACTGACCCTCTGTCCGGTCTCTCCGCAGGGCTTCGTGCTGGCTGTCACCATCATCCGTGAGGCGGTGGAGGAGCTCCGATGCTACGTGCGGGACAAAGAGGTCAACTCCCAGGTCTACAGCCGGCTCACAGCAAGAGGTCAGCCTCCTGGCTCTGGGGCCGCAGGGTTGCAGCTCAATCACGGGCCGCTGACAGTCGGGAGCAGAGTTCAAGGCCCAGGCCTCGGTGTGTTCAATGGCACGATGGCCACTTAGCAGCTTGGGCACTGGAAGGCCTCCACGTGCCTGGGCCTGGTGGGACCCAGCAGTGTCCCTGGGCTCAGGCTACCTGCACTGGTCTCTAGAATCTTGTCAGACAACTTGTGTATCATCAGCCTGTGTCTGGAATTAAATTCTGTGCCCTCTCTGCCTTGGCCTCTCCCTTTCCTGCTGCTGGCCAAGAAGAAAGGCCAGCCCTCCTGTGCCCTCCTGTGTCCCTGGGGGCGGGGTGGGGGAGGAGCTGTTAGAGATCCTCCTGCAACAGGGGTAACTTTATCATCAAAGCCCGCAGTTATTTTTACAGATGCAGCGTCTATGAAGGTAGCTTTGTAGGCATCCTGCAGATCCTAACAGGATTCACAGAGCGGACAGCAGAAGACCCTGTGGGGGGTGTAACCAAGGATTGAACTCATGACCTCATGTTTGCCAAGCAGGTGCTTACACCACTGAGCTAAACCCCGGCACCACCCAGCTAATGCGGACTTCGTTTCCAACTCCGGTAGATTTTTAAGTTTGCATTTGGAATGAGAGAATGCTACATAAAGTCAGCTAATCTGTCTGAGGAAAGACACAATCCTGATTGTCCTCCTAAGATGACCAACCCCACAAGGGGATTAATACTGCTTTAGGAGAGGCCCTGAGGAATAAAGCTATGCCCTGCTCTCAGGAAGATGCAAATGCTGGAAGAGCTGAGATAGATGGATGCCTGAGGGACTTGACACCCAGCCAGGTTGAGTGGCTTTGCGGTAAGGGCTCCTTAGCTTCCAGACAGGCTCTTAGTCAGGGTTTCAAGGTTTTGAGTAGAATTTCCTTTCAGGAAAAAAATAAGGGTAGTATGTTTGGGCTCACACAGTTGAAGATTAGTGCATTCCATTTTTATGGTTGATGATCTTAAAAAATTAAAAGTTCCTTGAACAAGAGGAGACAGGAATTGGTATGCAAATGGGTTACTAGTGTAAAACTACTGTATTTAGGCATTTTGCCATGAAGGAATAAAAAGCACAAGCCAGTGCAGTCTTTGCAGAGACAGATGACTCCGGCTGTCATGTGGGTAGTCAAAAGATCCTTCAGAGGGTGCTTTTCTCTGGGGACGTATATATTAAATCCTCTCTTAAAAACATATTCTTACTATAACCTTTAGAATGCTTGGCAACCAACAAAAGCCTCACCAGCGAGGCCGGGGTGGATCTCTTTGGAGCTCAAGAAAAAGGGCCTTGGGTTCCATTCATCCCTCTATCCGGCTCACCCTTCTGTGGTTCCGTTCACATTGCAATGGCTTTTCCCGTGAATGATTTCTTTGCCCTCCCCTTCCCGGCTCCCGCTGCCCTCACTTGGCTTGGTTCTTGAAAAGATGCGAAGGAGAATTGGCAGATGGCTCCGCTATTAAAAACTTGTCTTCCTTGGTTGGTTCACCCTTTGTGGCCCAGGATCCCTATTGTCATGCGGATGCAGCAGTGGAGGGAAGCAGAGCGCAGTCCTGAATATTAACCCAGGCCCTCACTTTGCAGCTCATCTGGAAAGATCCACCCGACACTGCAGAAAGCACCGATACTTGATATGCTGGGGGGGGGGGGCAGTGGCCAGCCAGGCCGAGGACTGCAGGACGGAAGAGAAAGCAGGCCTTTTGACCCTACTGTTGAGTTAATATTTCCTCGAGGACAGCTTTCCACCAACATCCTCGTTTCGTAAGTTCAGAAGCAAAATGAAACGAGTATGCTTGTGTGTTCTGAAGGGCACTTTTCCGTTTTTATTGCGTGAAATCTTAGTGTGTATGTTTCTCCACTGTGTTGGGAGTTCACAATTTCAAGAAACAAAATACAGCCAGCAGCAGATCACAGGCCGCGGAAGTCATCTAACTTCTACATTGTTTTCTGATTAATAGTAACAGTAGAAGAACTAACTTTTTTTTTTTTTTTTTTTTTTGTCTTTTTCCTTTTTTATCGGTACCGGGGATCGAACTCACGACTGCCTGCTTTCAAGGCAGGCGCTTATGCCGCTGAGCTAAACCCCCAGCCCCTAACTTTTTCTTTTTTTAAGTTCTGTAATTTTTGTTTTTGGTACTGGGAATGTAACTCAGGACCTTGTGCTTACCAGGCAGGTGCTTAGGCCAACTGAACTAAATCCCCAGCCCGATTTTGTAATAATTTCTAACAAAGGTTGCAAAAATCATAGAAGGAACTCCTTAAAACAAGAAAAAAACGGAACTCTTGTAAGCCTTTCTCTCAGATGGACCTCGGTTGTTAATGTTGAGGACATAACCTACAAGGATTTTCTCCTTTCTGTGTACACACACACAGTTTCACAGGGTCATCACAGAACTAAGTTGCAGAGACAGTTTCTTTTTGTTCTTTTTTTGTTTTTCCATTTCAGTACTGGGGATTGAACCCAGGGACAACCTGCCACTGAGCTACACTGCCAGCCCTGGTTTAGTTTTTGAGGCCGGATCTTGCTAAGTTAACCAGGTTGGCCTTGAACTTGTGATCCTCCTGCCTCAGCCCTGGAGGTAGCTGAGATTGCAGGCCTGTGCCTTAGTGCCCAGCTGGCCAGAGTTCCTTTTTATCCCTAAACACTGCAGTGTTTAATTCTTATAGAAAGTTCCTCTTACATGACAGTGCAGTTATTATCGGCACCAGGAGGTTTCACACCACTATGGTACCACTGCTCTCACTTACAGTCCGTATGTTCTGCTGTTTGTCCTGGAAATGCCCTGTATGGATTTTTCTTCTGGTCAAATCTAGGACATTTATTTAGCTGTCCTCCCCCCTCGGCCGCCTCTAACCTGGCATAGCTCCTGGGTTTCCTTGTCCCACCGGACACTGAAATCGACACTTTTGAAGAGGACAGGCCAGTTGCAGGCCAGTCAGTCACTTGGTAATTCGTTCCCTGATATGTGTTTATCTGATACAGTCTCAAAGTTTGATTCATGACGTCCATTTCGGGTAGGAACTAATGGACTTGCAAAAGTGCCAGCGATCCAGATTCTTGCTGTGATATGGTTATGGTTTTAACTTATTAACTTGCAGATATTTCAGACTTGGTGGGGGACACGATTTGATTGTAAACAGCTGAACTAACAGGTTGGCTAATGAGGGACTCCTTCCCTGTGGGCCGGGAAGGCAGATGGCGGGTCTGCTGTTTGCTTGTTCTCCCCCAGGACTGAACCCAAGCCTCACAGTGCTGTTGCTAAGTCCCTGCCACCCAGCCAGCCTCTGTCAGGTTCCTTTTCCTTTTTTCCTCCTCCTCCTCCTCCTCTTTTTCTTCTTCTTTTTAAGAGTAGGAAGAATTTATTGGGAGAAAGAAAGGTCTTTCTTTCTCTCTTTTTTTTTTTTTGTCTTTTTGAGACAGGGTCTCATTGTGCAGTTCAGGCTGGCCTTGGGCTCACACTGTAGCCCATGTTGGTCTTGAACTTGGCGGTGATCCTCCTGCGTGCTGGGATTACAGAAGTGCACCCCCATGCCTGGCTTTGAAACAGGGTCTTGCTATGTCACTCAGGCTGGCCTCAAACTCACAGTGATCGTCCTGCCTCAGCTTCCTGAGTGCTGAGGTTACAGGTGTGTGCCACCATCCCTGGCTAGTTGTTCAAGTTTTTTAAAATAGTCTTACGTGAGTAGCTTTGACATGTGAGACACAAGGACGAAAAGATTTCTTTTTTTCATCCATTGCTAAAACCATAACTGAGACCCCTAAAATAAAAGAGGTAACGGCTCTCATTGGAGATGTGGCTAAGCGGGGGCGCAGCCGTGGTCATCCATACCCATGCTTATGTGAACGTCAGACCCCGCATCTACTCTGAGGAGTGAAGCCTGGCACTCTTGCATTTGTAACTCCGCGGTGGCCAGGGCTCAGCCCTCATGCGTGGACCGCAGGGGCTTGTAAGACTGCAGGCCTGTTACAGCGGATTCCGAGTCCAAAGCAGCCTCCCTGTGTAAGCAGACCAGCTGCTGAAAGCCGTGTCGGAGCAGTGCTTTCCCAGACAAGCATCGCCTTTCTTTGTACGTGAAACTCACTTTTGAAACAGCTGGGAGGCTTAAGAGTGGTTCTTAGAACTTTACGAGTTTTTTAATGGAGCTGTCTTCCCAGATCAGGAGCGGTCAGTGGCACCGGACAGAATGCCAAGAAGAGATCTTGAACTAGTAGCAAACCCAGCAAAACGTAGAGGTTTCCTCAGAAGATCTGGCCATTGCCCAGCCCTGGAAATAGATAGAAGAATGTGGTTAATCCCCAGTCCTGGGGAAAAGACAAGATCTGGGTTGGATCCGGAAAGACTAGTGAATGAATCTGTCTCTCTCTCTCACTCGCTCACGAACACGGTTCTTGGGGTTGAACCTGGGCACGCTGCTCCGCTGACCTGCAGCCCGTTTGCTGCTTGTTTGGAGGCAGGATCTCATTAAGTCCCCGTGGCCGCCTCGGCCTCCGGTGCTTGGGATTACAGGCTGGACCCCATAGCTGGCCAGGGTACTTCCGTGTATACTGCCATACGTCAGAGTTTGATTCGGGAGGGTGTCGTGTCCTGATAGAAGGTGGTCAGGGCCGTCACATTTGCGTTTTCACAAGATGAACTCGGTGGGCCTGCATACTGGAATGCCTTCCCGGATTCACTTCTGACCAAGGGCCAAACGAAGCAGCAGGTAATTAGCCTTGAAAGAGAGTGCAGACAGATGCGCTGTGAGCACAGTTGCCAAGGCTTCGTTTCTTCTAGCAGCATCTGGACAGATGGTGAACCATAAATCCCAGAGATCATGAGCCAAAGATCTGTGCCAAAGGAGAGGACCCCTCCTCCCCCGCACACTCCTGTGTATGCAAAGAAAACCAGCTTGCTGCTTTCTGGGCACAGCTCTTCCTGTGTGTTCCGCGGAGCTTGGCTCTGCTCCCCACTTAGGC